CCATTTATTTCCTATTTTCTTTGATTTCCTGTCTTCTATCATGTTATCAGCATTTTAAAGGCCTGTGTTGTGCTGACGGCTGCCAGCTGTCTGATTACAGCATCAGTATTAAACGCTGCCCTCTGCCTTGTGCAGAACTAACGCAACGTTTCTCACATAAAAAGACACAACAACACACATAAACAACAGCAGTAACAATCGGAGCCTTAAATATGAAGAATAAAACTAAACATTTAATTATCAGTTAGAATTAATAATATGTCTGATTCCTTTAGAAAACTTGTGATCAGCATATGTGTGTGTGCAGAGTGCACGCACACACACATATGTATATCCACATTGGCACATGCTGGTGTGTGTTTCTGCTGTGACACATGCAGAGAAATGCCGTATTAACACTTACTTCGTGGCCAATAGCATGTTTTTTCTTTGGACTTGTTCGTTTGGGTCGGAATGCTGACGGTTTACATATTCAGCTACTGCCTTGGCTGGAAACTCAGTCTCGCATACATAACCAAAATCCCTGGCAAGATGCACAGCTTCGCCTGAGAGACACAGGGAGGGGGGCAGGAGGAAGAGGAGGAGGAGGAGGAGGGAGGAAAAAACACAATAAGGTTGAATGTGGTTTCTTATTAAATGCGCTCACATCAAATACTGAGAAGTTCACACTCCCTGTTTGGATGGGCACGTGATGAATGTGAGTCCACTCTGTTTATGTGCTCAGTCAGCGGGCTTGTGGCACCTGTGCCTTCCCCAACAACACTCGCGATGACGAGAGGAACAATAATGACCCAGAAATGATCATAAACGACGCATGGGAGCTGCCATCGCTGCTCAAACTCTCATCTTCCTGCTGCGAGTCTGGATGTGACGCAGACGGATGTCATTGATTTACCACTGGCTGCACGTTAAAGGTGCTCGGTGCAAAAAAAAAAAAAATCATAAAGAGATGGAAATAAATCTATGAAATAAGAAACAAATTATTTACTTGTTAATTTAAAAAAATGTAAGCCAAATGTGTAATAACTCTAGCTAAAGGGRCTAAAAACAGGTTAAAAATTCTGCCATGTTTGTTTACTTCAGCTTGATGTAGGTCACTCAAGCTTCCAGCTGGTTTTCAGAAGATAGTGTTTTGTTTACACTGACTGCAGACCTGCATTTCAAAATCTCTGTTAACATATTTGAAACTGAACTGCACCATGCAACAGTTCAGGATCTGTTTGATTTTATATGTTTGCAGAGAGGATCTTTAACTGAACTCAGCAGATCACAAATGAGGAAGTGGTTTAAAAAAATTCATTGGCTGCATCTCAGGTTTTGTCATCTGAGCGCTGCTTTCTTTCCACTCCTCAAGTCTTTGGATTTAATTTCCTGAAGTAGTTTTGTGTGTTTTGTTTTCTTACTGCGGGGCAGGAAGCCCCCTCTGCGTGCACCGGAAGAACGCATGCGCCACTTAGCATCAAGGCTCGAGTCCAGTAAACTATTTTTTTTTTCATAAAATGGAGCAGCTCGTCATCAATGACAGCTCGAGAAAAGGTGGCGTCCATTCACCAGAGCGCACATAAGCGCGCGCACCAACCTCCCCACGTGTCACCACCCTCTTATTACTCACAATCAAACATTTCTCTCAGGCTCATTACAATACAGGAGCCGAAATTCCATGAAACACACACACACACACACACACACACACACACACACACACACACACACACACACACACACACACACAAAACGAATGTTGCGTGTGGACCACTATATTCTACAATAATGATTAACAGGGACCAACGAAGCGTCGCGCGCGGGCTTTCACCTTTGGAAACCAGCAGCACCAAAATACCACCACACTGAATAATAAGGCTCAACTCTGCGAGTCAAATGGATTTATCCAGCCGCGCAAAAAAAGGCATCTCCTCTGTTCACAATAATTGCCTAATTTATTCTTTAATAGACCCAAAACGTATGGTTCCCCATAGGTCAGCGCATGCAACCCGATTTGCATGCAATACAAATCTTCAGTGAAAAACCAAAAAGCATGGGAAGCCATTAACGAAAGAATTAAAAAAAACTATTTTTATTATAATTATGAAAGAAAAAAACCGGTCTGCTCTGCTGCATCCAGACTGTATTAATGTTTGAAGCAATGCGGGGTTGATCAATCAATCGACTCCTCATCCATGAGGTGAAAGAGCTCGGCGGTGGCCAATCAACAAGCAGCACTCAATAATTAACTGGACTTCAACACAAATTAATCCGCGGGGTAAACTAGGCCATGCCGTGGAACCTGCAAGTGTCCTCCTGAAAGCGGAGGGCCAAAACACTGCAAAGCCACTGGAAGCACCAGCATCGCGCGCGCGCGCACACACACACACACACACACACACACACAAACACACACACACAAACACACACACATCCTTCATGCTTTATTACTTGCGAGGCAAAGTCGGTCCACATTACACGGATGAGCGCATATGCTGATTTCCAACACAGAGAAAAAGTGAGGGGAAGAATATATATATTTTAAATGTGTGGGGAGCCAAAAAAATAAAAGTGGGGGTGGCGGAGAGAGCCGACGTGATTCATCGGCGCCAGACTTACCTTCGACTAGTGACGTCAGCAAGGTGACGTTGGCTGCCTTGCGTCTGCCCGCAGGTAGATTCAAACCGATTTTATCCAACTTCTCCCTCAAGGATCTGCCTCCGTTCTTAGACTTGGCCCTGAGACGCAGAGACAAAGCATGGGACACGTTGATGATCATTTGGGGGGAATCCGTGCATGAAGAGACAATCC